CAAAATTATCTCATAATTTAGGATTGGTTTCACGTGGAATGTTTAAAATGTGGCACCATTTCTTTCTTTGATTTGAAAATTATGTATTTATAATGAATTTTCCCTGGTAAAGACTCGTTAAAGCATCAAAATACCTTTACTTAATTTTAAATAATCCTAAATAACATCTAAAACTAAAATAAATAAAAATACTCTCACTCACATGTTTTCGTCGGCAACCATAACCATATTGTTTTTTGTTTACTTTTTGTTGACAGCGCGAGCGTGTCACCGTGGCTGCGGGCACACGGGGGAGCCAGCAGGCATGTAGCGGACATAAAGACAGATTAACATTGTACAAATAACTAAGTGAAGGCATGATTTTTTAATTTGGTTTAATATATAAATTAAAATTGTTGAAATTATACTTTTTTGTGTTACTGAGCGAGATGTTAATAAATTATTCAGTGTGCTTTGCATTTTAATACAATTTGGTTATTGTAAAACGGACTTCAGAGCACCCAAGCGCCGGGTGGTCTGCGCAGTAAACGGGTTGGCAAATTGTGCATATGATATAAACCCCCGTGATCGAAATGATCAGACGTCGCGTACTAGAAAACTCGTTTAAGTGAATTTTGACAGAGGAGAAGTGTGGTAGACTGGTAAAAACGAAGCCACTCACCACTTACAAGTTTTAAATATGTGGTAATCTAACAAAGTATGAGTAGACGTACTGTGGATTATTACATAATTATTTAATTACGAGTAAAAGCAATTCAACACAAATTCGCCAAATATTTCGTTTAACTTTGTATTACAAAGCTATCCGAGAGTCTAGTAAGTTACCTTGTTATCTGTGACAGAACTAAAGGAGGTTTCTGAGACAAGTTTAGGTAAATTAACTGCTTACAAAAGTTAGTAGACAAGGGAATGTACAATTCAACATAGACATAGGGACCTGTCTTGACCGAAATACAAACAATCTGTTACCAACCCATTGTGCCCTATTGTGTTGGCGTTTATCAGACAAGCACAGTGGTGTAGGTACTATAATTTATTCTTAACAATACAGAATATTCCACGAATGAGGGTCAGTTTTATTGTGAGTCAGTTAAAGAATATAAGACAGTAAATTGTAGTTTTAACTTTGAAAGAATAGAATTTGGTCAAATTATTTAAATTTTGATTATTAAAAAGTTTCTCAAAAAATTATGTATGTAACAAAAATATCTTATTGTTTCTATATCATACAATTTAAAAGTATTGCATTACAATTACATCAAAATAAACTTTACTAATACACCTATTTTTTTCTTAACCTAAAATAAAAAAGTTAATTTAAAATTTTTGTGAACTATTATAGCCGCCAATGCCTAAGCTGTTAGCTTCTACAAATTATCTATAATTAAAATAACAATTATTTCAATTAAAGCAATCGAACGGTTTCTTGTTTAACCAGAAATGCGATCCCCAATGTCTGGTCATCTCTAATTTCCATCAAAATCTAATCCTCATACGTGTGTACATCCACTAGACACATAACAAAACAGTGTAATAGGATATCTCAGCGTGAATTTAACTCAATCAATGTCAAACCGACCAATTCCAAAGCCGTGCTATAAAATATTTTTAAAGAAGGGTGTGAACAGTGTTGCCAGTTGGTTTTTTATTTATTCAGTATTTGCAAGTTGAAAAAATCAGTAGAAAATCGTTAGACACTTTTTAGAAAAATATGGTCCAATGAATATTAAATGGGAAATAAATTTTATTGAAAAATTATAATGGGCTTTAAAATAAATATATAAGTTAATTGAGAGTTATTGCAAGTTCATTATATATTAGCACCGCTCTTATTTTGATATCAGAGCATGCGCAGATCGTTTGCTTTCTAGAACTGACTTTATTAAAGATTGTGTCTGTCCTTAATTGTGGATGTTTAAGGGCAACAGATAGTGACGGCTTTATAGCTTTCGGGTACGCTCGTCGACATTCGTATCAGTTCGAAGTTTTTATATTTAATATCATCGTCATCTAAACCTTCTAAAACGGTAATTTCTAATGCCTCATCCATATTATGTACTATTATAGACAACAAAAAAGATTAACTATAATTTAAAATGTTTAAAATGAGGTTAGAATTATGTTTAAGAACAAGAAATCTAACGTCAAAACTCTTATTGTAGCATGGAATTTAATTGCCTCTAATTACGTTGTCACTAGTAGTGGCTGAAGTTATAGAAATTTGCAATATCTCTCTAATTAAACTAAAAAATAATGAAAACAACATGAAACGAAAACAGAGGCATATATCAAAAACTACCTACGTATATTAAATACACAAAAAACTCAAGGGCATCACTTTCAGCTGATTGGTGCTGTTGAAAGGAAAAGTAGGATAACCGGTATGATTTTTCCAAGAAAAAATAATTCAAGGTTTATTAAAAGATTTGTTAATATTATTGTTTTTTTTCTGAAAATTTCACAAAAATCGGACAAAATTAAAGGCTGAGAAGGAATAAGATATTTTCAAGGTGTTCGGTTTGCTCTTAAGGAGAATAAACAGGAGAATTAGATTGTTTATAAAGATTAAATTTGGAAAATTGAAATGATTTTTAAATTATTTTATATTTTTATAATTTTTGAAAATGAAATAATATATATTTAATTAGAAAGAAAAAATCAACAAAGATTAAATTAATGCCGTTGTGCCGTTACTGGCTTTAAAAGAGAACCAGAAATGCCACCGAGGAAGCCTCAATCCTTGAACATTATTTAATAAATTGATATTTATTCATTCAGTGTTTAGATTACACAAAAAATCACTTACATGGATTACATCGCGCCAGACGTGGTTCTGATAAAATTAATTCAATAGAATCAGAGATGGCACGACGAATTCATGCACTTCCAAGGTATATTCTAATGATTGATCTTAAAAGTTCGAGCTCGCGCTAAGAGTGTATTCATAGTAAAAGGTTATGGGTCCAACAACGGGCCCAGGTACGTCAAATTTGCACGGTTTCGTATATCTATCGCGCGAGGGAAAGCAACAGGCCTACCACGGGCCAGACCAAATAGAATCGAAGTAGGCCCAAGATATACGACACCGTACAAATTAGACGAATTTTGGCCCGTTGTTGGCCTGGGTCCAGACCGGCCAATTATATGTATATGCACCTTTAGATAGGCTTTGATCAGTGAACTCAAAAATTAGGAGAGTATAACTCTCAAAAAGTTGATCATTATTGAGGGCTATTTATTGAATTTGGAGTGAGGGTAGCCATATGTGAGTAGTAGGGATTAAGTGTAAGGGGTTAAAGAAAAGGTCCTTTATTTCTCAAAATTCAACTTAATTGGCGACCGGTTTTGAAGCTGTCACTTCATCATCAGGCACACTTTGACTATTTCCATAAAGGAAGCGCTACATAAAGTTTAACAAAACGAGTTAAAAAAGTCATATGTAATACAATAGTATTTTTTTAAAAATATTTTAGGTTAAGTTAAACCGCGAGATGTCTGTTTGAATAAATTAATTAAAACACATGTAAGACAATTATTAACTAAACAACACAAAATAGTTTTTACAAGCACAAACAGTTTAAAAATTTTTAAGGATATAACGTCAATTAATGAAAGTAAAAAGTTAAAAAAGTAAAAAGTAAAAATTATCAGACTCTCAAGACATCTATCTAGATAAAATATTTTTTAAAAAATACTATTGTATTACATATGACTTTTTTAACTCGTTTTGTTAAACTTTATGTAGCGCTTCCTTTATGGAAATAGTCAAGGTGTGCCTGATGATGAAGTGACAGCTTCGAAACCGGTCGCCAATTAAATTGACTTGTGAGAAATAAAGGACATTTTCTTTAACCCCTTACATTTAATTTATTGAATTGTCTATAGACTGGTATAAAATTTCTTTTTAAATTAACAAGAGCGTTGAGGCACAAGCGATTGTTATCTCTTTCTAACCAAATTTCAATGTCTTCGTGAAAATCTGAGTGAAATTTTTGAATTAATGTTGACTAAATTATTTATAGTTTTCAGTGGGACTGAAGTATGTAACCTATGAATGCCATTCGTATCGAGCATATTAAATTTGTCTTTGATATTAAAAATGCGGGAATCTAATTTATTAACTGATCTAAAGGACATTTTAAAATTTATATTTTTAGTGAATATTTTAGAAATTCTTTTGGTTGAATGTTTTTCCCAAAAGGGGAATGAAAAATAAAAATGATGGTCCTTGTGGGACCTGGACCCATATAGATATTATTAGTGAAGAAATCGGTATTTTGAAAACAAATGAGAAACAGAAAGATTACATATCTTACATCTTACATAATACAATGTCACATAATCTTTATTTACTTAATAATTTTACATTAACATTAATACGATATTTCAACAAACATACCATTATGTACAATGATATATTTATATTTATTATTAGTTATGCACACATATTATTATCTAGTAGCTGTTAAATAATTTATCGACGAAACTTGATACAATTTTCCAGTACAGTATATTCACATAAATCAATTTATTGTTTACATTTTATTATTTAAATTAAACGTAACTACAAGAGAGCATGAATAAATAATAGAAGATGAATGCCGTGGCTGATATTCGTTCTAGGGGGAAGGGGAGGGCGCTGCAAAGATCTTTTAGCGAGATAAAAATATACATAACTAGCTGATACCCGCCCGCTTCGCTAAGCACATGATAAAATTTGATCTTGAAACCTAGTCGTGTGATATGAATAAAAAGGGTTAGATAATCCAAATAATTTCCAATATTCAAGGTAATAAAATTATATTATTCTCAATTTTAAACAATGGCAATTTTTGTAAATAATTAATACAATTTTTATTTTTTACCACAATTTTTTTATTATTAATTTAAATATATAAACTATCAGTATCTCTCGTTGAAATTAATAAAATAATTTAACTACAAACTTAAAACTTCCCTGTTTACAACGTTCTTCGGTTTTTTTTCTGGCTGAAGAATGACTAAGTTGTCCGGTGAACTGACTCTTGAACACGCCACGTAAAGTTGACCATGAGAAAAACTATCACTTCCAGATCCACACCAGTCATTCTCAAACTCTGCCCTTGCGCTTTATTGATAGTCATGGCATAACAAACTCTGACAGGATATTGAAGACGTTTGAACTCAAAATGGTGATATGTTGGAATAAGAGGAATTCTCGGGATGAATACAACTTCTCCTTCATATTTTCCTGTTAAAATTGCAGCTTTAATAACATTTTTATGCAGACTTTTAACTTGTCTGGTGCTGTTACATAGTTTTGGAGGATTCAAATTGCGCAGTAGCATTATTGGTGCCCCAATTTTAAGATTTGGAATATGAGGTGGTATTCCGGGTGGATTCAGTGTATGCAAAAACTCTATAGGATAATGAACAGCATCGTCTACTTCTACTACTGTATCCACAGATTCATACTTACATGGTCAGTTGGTAGCTTCTCTAAAAGAAAGTTGTTAATGATATTTGCGGAGTCATTTGTTGGAGCGAGAATAGCTCTTTCTTTTAATCATGAAGTGCAACCAACTTTAATCTGATGGATATTTGGGTATATTTTATCAGTCAAAGTGATTAAATCCCCAACAATATTACCAAGGCTTCAACTTGCGAAATCTGTCCGTCACCTATATTAAGTAGCAGCTTAGAAAATTATCCTGCTCTCAAATCATGTTGCAAATGAACGCGAATATTAAGTCTTAAAGATAGCATGCTGACATGGGGCCACAAAATTGATGATTTTAGACAGGCTTTGACCTCATCTGCACATGTACCTCCTGGCACAACAGGCAATGTTTGTCTAAAGTCACCAGCCAAAAGAACAGTTATTCCACCCATAATTTGGTTACAACTTCTTATATCCTTGAGCGTTCTGTTAAGAGCCTCAATAGCATTCTTGTGAGCCATAGTGCATTCATCCCATATAATTAGTTTTGCTTTCTTAAGGACATGTGCTATATCACTCTGCTTAGAGATGTTACAAGGAGTATTATCCGAATAATTCATGTTTAGAGGTAATTTAAAAGCAGTGTGAGCCGTTTCGCCTCCGTCGATTAAGGTAGCTGCAATTCCAGAAGAAGCAATAGCGATAGAGATACATTGTTCACTTCTAATTTTTGCAAGCAATAAATTTATTAAGAATGTTTTTCCAGTCCACCAGGAGCGTCAAGAAAGAATAACTTCCCACAGTTAGAAGCAACACTATTTAATATTTTCTCGTAGGCTTCTTTCTGTTCTATATTTAATTTTAAAACATTTGATGCAACTTCTTCGGTAAGCTGATCTGTGTCGTAAGCCAATTCACTTAGATATTGATGGTTGTTAATAATAGTCCCTTGTTCTCGTAATGGTGAAATGAGTCCAAATTGTGACAAAGTTTTACCTGACATAGCAATGACCATATCTTCAAGAAGAATTAGGCATTGATTATAAATAATGTCAAGAACCAACCAAACGTTTTCTTGTTCTCTGCTCATTTGTCTTCTAATGTCTTCCGCAAAAGTGTCTTACTATTTTTCCCACAATTTAATTGGATTTCCAACTTGACAGAAAACTAAGATGATAGTGAACAATTAACGAATTTTATGAGGAGAATCAGAAATTGAGGCTTCTCCTAAAGTTCGATCCCAATGATCATCGTCTTCCAGCAATCCAATTGTTCTGCAAGCCTCTTGAAATGTTGGATAGGTCACATTGTTTACAGTTTTTAGTGGCGTAAATGACTCTGGACCACGAACCTCATGCAAAAGAAGGCGTAGATAATAGCATTCAGCATTGCCGGGATGGACAGTACTCGACCTAAAACATGATCTCTTTTTATTTCCATGTAACCTGGAACAATCTGTCCTTGTTTTCTCTTGCAAAACTGGTGGTTTTTCCAGACATAATAAGACGGAACTTCACAATATAATAGAGTTTTTGCAAAATCATTTACTTTACAAAGATCAAAAAAAGCCATAAGTGTTGTTTTTGGATTTCTATTGATCTTATCAACTATATTATCCTCGTTAAAAAAAATTATTTGGCCATTTTCCAAATGTACAGCAAGATGCATAACAGGGGAAAACCTGGACATTCCCCCCCCGTCCCTAAAATGTGAAAATCCAAAAACTCTGAAATGCGTCATTATTTATTTATGATCAGTAACTACAATTTCAATTTTCAAGTTTCTACCTACCCAGACATCTTGGGTTCAGGACTAGATATACATATCATGACTTGTTTCCAAATATCCTTAAATTGCCTTTTGACGGCGCCACCCAAAGTCATCCCAAAGACTAAGGTCGAAAATACCAATACAGCTCTTAAATCAGGTTAAGTCTTTACAGACCAAGTTAGGGTCTAGTCTGCCCTTACTTGGTAAGACATTCATCTAAATTCTTGGTTAAGAACTACTAAGTGATGTTGCCCGTCTCCGATGCAATACTCATTGGCAACACTCTGAAATTAGAAGAAGGCGATCCATTTTGAAGTTTTAATGCTTTTCCAGGGGCTGGAAAATGATCTTGAAGCAAGTAATCTTTAGGAACCGTGAGCAGGTCTTACTGTTGCTCGGTTGTAACACCATGTCTCACCATGTCTCCCATGTCTCCCATGTCTCCCAACGACATTAAGCAATAATTTAGAATGGGAAAAAAGGATGACAATAGTATTAAATAACGCTTGGTGGATGTAGAATTCTGCAGACGTTGGTTGCGGGACTGTGTTTGTGCCAATAAAAAAAAGTTGAAAGATTCGCCAATTGTATTATATGAAAAACTTACTGCTCGGAATCTACAATTGTTTAAAAAAGCACAGCAAGTATTTAAAAAGTCTTCATGGACTTCCATTATAAAAGTTATACCACCACTAAATAATATAAAAACCAAATAAGTAGTTTCGATAAAAACATTGTCCCAAAGTTTGTATTCCAGTCCTTAAAATTATTTAAATAAATAAAATTAAAATAATTTGACATACAAAATCTAGCAACCAAACAAGGGTTTCTGAGAACAACCAAATATTTGAATTAATATGCAGGAGTGCATCATCTATCTTAATTAATTAATAATTTTTGTTATGAATATTACGGCGTACAAATACCGTCTTGGGGCGATATTTTAGAATGTGTTAGATCTTGGGTAAGTTTTAAAAGTGTTTATCTTCTTAAAAGTCCAAGAGTAGAGACTTGTTACAGAAATAATTGTAAAAATACAAAAAAATTTAAAACATTTGTAAATATTTGGGAAATCTCAGTTTTGGAGACGACGACGTTAAATATATTTAGACAGAATGATACTTTCCTTTATTTAGAAAGGTTCTATGGGAGGAAGGAGGGGCGCCCCCCGCGCCCTCTCCCTAAATCCACTACTTGATGAATGGTATATTTACATCCGAGAGGTCAGTAGTGCAGTTGTAAAATACAGTGTATAATAGACACAAATTCAATCAACTTGTCATCTTTTTTATTTCGAGAACTCTATCTGTCACGGTCATACCTAATATAACAAAATTTATTGTAAACCACGTCAATTTAAATTACTATTTCCCATGTCATGTTGAGCACACCCAAAGGCCCGAGATTAATCAAGACTACGTACTTAGTTACAACTAGTAACTGGCAAAGAATCATTGCTATAAATCCGTGATTTTTTTTTGTCCCTGAGAGTTGACCTGAGAACCTGAATAAACTGAATATTGCATGTGTGCATGTGATTGTGAATTATGGTCACCAATTTACGCTCAAATCTCGAAAGCATAAGGAATTGTAATTGAAATGAAAGAAACAAATTTATGGACTTATATGGTAAATAGGACAAATAGGATTAAGCTGGGTATATGCATATGTGAGTATTTATGTGTTTGTTTCAGATTTATAAAAAAATCGGTTTGTAATTTATGTTACTCGTATATGAAATTTTAAAATTAAATATCAAGATTTATTTGTTTTGAAATGATGTATCGCAATATTTCACTGATTTATTTAAGTAATTATTTAACGGCAATAATTCAACATTGTTAATAATGTAGTCATGGATTGCATTAGAGATACCTAAATCGGAAAATAGAGAAACAAGCATACAGTTTTTGATAAATTAGAAGATAGAATTTGTCAATACTGTAACCGGAAAATAAAATGGTACGCAAAATTATCCCCCCCTTTGAAACCGCCCTTGTCAACAACCGTCAAAATAGAATTGATTAATGAGTAATAAGAGAAGGCGAAGTAAATAAAATAATTTTGTTTACTTTGGAGGGCTGAGTTGCAGTTATGAACTATATTATATAACTGGACTATTCAAATCATAGTTTGGTTGGGAACATATCTCGTTCTACACTTGAGATCTAAGAAAATCTTAGTTTTATGATTTTTAAGCAATATTGCAACAACTTAAAATCCTACTTTACGGATATAATCTTCACAGTAAAATAATAAGAAGAATATTTCTAACTTAAGTAAATTAAAGCAGAGATACCTCAAAGAGGTGATCTGGAGCCAATTTTTTTTAACTACCTGTTTACTTCCGACATATCATAAACGCAAAATGTGAAAGTAGCAACGACGATAAATTACTAGACTAATTTTGTTTACAGAAATGGAACATTCGCAATGTCATCCACGTAGTTGTTAAATTATTAGGAGGAAGTATACAGGGTGTTAAAAAAAAAGTGTCACAAAATAAAACGGGGGGGTAGTATGGGCCAAAATATGCAGAAAAGTCTTAATAAACATATGTCCGCAAATGAATGGTTTCAGAGATACGGAGTATTTTGTGTTTTGTATCATTTTTTGATTATCTTTTTTCATTCTCAAAAACTTGCTTTTCTTATCGGAGTCTACCGATGTTTTTTCATAGATACTATTTGCAGTTATTATTTTGTTGTGGGTGAATAATTTTATAAATTTTCGTTATGCCTGTTTACACGAATATTGAATTAGCTGACATGCATTTTATGTACGGTCGTGCAAATGGCAATGCATTGAAATGGAGGGAGGGCACTTTGAACATCTCATTTAACTCTATGTTGTTATTGATTGTTTATAAATATCATTATTTTTTTATAATAATAAAAAATTGTTATAAACACAAAATGGTCCGTATCTCCGAAACCGTTAATTTGCGGTCATATATTTATTAAGACTTTTCTGCTTATTTTGGGTCATACTATTCACCATTTCATTTTGTGACACTTTTTTTAACACCCTGTATATGAGAGTCTTGTTACAAGGATTGTTTATGGTTATAATTCGGAATTGACTTTACATGAGGCTCTAAAACGCACAGAAGGATTTCAAAATTCCATTAACGAAGTATATTTGTATTCTTAATGCCAGTCATTATCAGTTTAATGTCTTTTACTCTTTACAACTAACGATTTCCAGGAATATATCTGTTATTTACGCTTGGAGAAGAAAATTGTTCAAATAAAAGTTGCTTGTAATGTTATTGTCTATATATAATTTTTCTAAAATGGACAGTAATGGAAAAATTTGAAGAAAAGTGTAAAATTGAATTTTTTTAGTGTTTTTGTTAACAATTAATTTATATATAAAAATGTTTCGAGTAAGATGTGTATGGAAAATATATGAATTCAGTTTATCCTCTAAACGTTTACAATAGGTTGTACAAAATAACCAGAAAAAGCCTGTAATGAACTAGACAGGAAATTTATGTGTTGGACACATCACATTTTTTAAATATGTAGAAATATGGGTCATACGATACCTTTTCTGAAATGTTTTATTTGTGTATCCAACCATATGAATAAGAACTGATTTTTGTGTAATGTCGAAAAATTTAATTATAAAATGATTTTTTTTTTAATATTAGGTTTCGTCTTCACCTAATTATTTTTGACTATTTTTAGGTACCTAAAAGTAAGTTTGACAAGGGTCGTAGTTTTTTGCTTGGCCATTGCTTTTTTTTTAACTTGATTTCGTTTTTCTTTTTACTATATAAAATAGCTTTTTGTGTATTAAGAGCGAAAAGTGATACTTTGCCGTTTGAGACGCGACGCGTAGCGGAGCGCAGCAATCTGCCCAAAGCGGCAACGAACTTTTCGCTCAAGATGCACACAAGATTTTTTTAGGATCACATTATTTTGAGAAATAGATATAAAAGCTGAAAATTTGTCGTAAGTAGTGTATAATGTGTATAATGTATTTTTCTATCTGTTTATTTTGTCATACTAAAATGTGATGTTATAATTTCTCCTTTATTATTAATTATAATTATTTACGGTTGGCGATAAAAGTTTGTATGGACACGTCAGCAAAGTGTCATTATCGAACTCGCCTGTTACTTGCCTCGCTCGCTTCTCTCGTTCGACTCATAATCTCAGACTAGTTTGATAAAGCATCACTTTGCTGACTTGATACATAAATAACTATTACCGGTCTCTAATGTCTACTTTCTGATCTTGACCGGCAAAAGGTTATTTTCTGGACGAAAAATTGTTCAGAAAATGTATATTTTCTGGTCAGCCTTAAAAAACA